TGTGTGGCAAGTTGCACCATCTTGCATAAATATAAGATTTTTGACATTATTTTTAATATTTTTAAATTTTTCTGTCAATTTTTGGCTGGACATCAATCCCTCTTCTTTTAGCTTTCTACAAATGGTCCGGTCTGACACAACAATTACAGCTTCATGGATAAGCTTAGTGGCTTTTTTTCTGTTTTCCAGGCAGATATTTCTGATTACACTGTCCGCTCTTGGTGTTTTCTTGCGTTTATAAGGTGGTCTCCTTGGACCAAACTCTTCCCCTGTATCAATTCTTTTTCTTACTTGCATTACAGTTTGGTAAGAAACCTTTGCGGTTTGTGCAATTTTTCATTGAGAATAATTTGTATTTTGTGAAAGACATGTTTATCAATTTTTAATGTAACTATAATAATAATAACAATGTATAATGCAGGTTGTTGACCAATGGTTTATAATCAAAATTTATTATGGCTGGCGGTAAAGGTAAAGAGAAATTTAAAGGAACAAACATTAGGTATTTACTTGTAAGTTAAGTGTAAAATTATATATTTTTTAAAAATCACAGTTCGTTTTTTTAATGCTATTTTATTTTTAATTTTTTGATGTATTTGATGCAAATTATTCTTAATTAAAAGAGTTGAGAGAGGGTTGTACCACAATTTACAAAAAAAAAAAAAAACGAGTAGCCTCCTCGACTGTAGTGGCCCCCTCGGGCCTCGGGCCTTTTTAATAAATTAAAAATATATATATATATATTACTGATAAATAAAACTTTTTTTTCAAACATTTTATTTTATTTGCATTGTATATAAAGTCCGTTGAAATATAATATCCTCTGCGCAAATTATTGCTTTTTTATTGTGTTATTTTATTGCAATTAAAGTTGAGATAATTTTTTAGTTAACTAAAATAAAAAACAAAAATCAACGTTGAATTTACGTTGTTTCAACGTTGTTCTAACGTCTTATCAACTACGTATCAATCGAATATATCACCTATTCAAAGTTGAAATATGGTTGATATGTAGTCGATAAGACGTTAGATCAACGTTGAAACGACGTAATCATCGACGTTGTTTAAACGTCGTAGTTTTCGACGTCGGATTTTATTTCCAATTCAACCAAATTTCAACGTTGTTTCAACGTGACATATGGTCGGTTTGCGACGTTGTTTCAACGTTATTTCAACGTCATTGTGCCTGCTGGGTTTGTTTGCTTTAAAAAAAATCATCTACACGAGGCGCGAATAGAGTTTTTCTTCTTTGATTACTTATTTTTCATAAATTAAACCATGAAAGTGTTAATTAAACTATGGAAGTATTATATATAATACTTCCATGGTTAAAACTAGAGGTGACAAATATTCGGTGACTATTTGGTATTCGGCCGAATATTGCAAACTCTTCGGCCGAATACAAGATTGTAACAAAACAAAATAACGCATAAAAACAGATATAATAACTAATTTTTCTTAAATTTTTTTATTTAAAAAAATAATAGGCATACTTGATACATATTATCTAACATGGTAGGTTATGGTACATGTTTTTTTTTTTATAAGCATATGAAATTTTTGAAGCAGGCTCGGGTATGCTTAAGCAAAAAGTCAAAAGAGGCTCAAAAATATGCTAAAACTTAAGCATATTTATAATATAATATGCTTATTTCAATACTTTCTAAAAATGCGTGCGTTACTAAAGGTTATTGGTTATAAGAAAAATAAAAAGTCGACTTTAGTACAGTATAATAAAAAATAAAAGATATATACTATATACAAATTTTATCAATCAAATAATAAAATAAATAAAATTTGAAATAAATGAAATAATAAAATAAATAAAATTTGAATTTTTTAAATGGTTTATCGAGGCTAAGGAATATGCTTACATATGCTAATTTTTTTCCAAATCTAAGCCTCCATATGCTTATAAACGTTATGCTTATAAAAAGAAAAATGTATATTGTTTGATGATAGCAAATGATTGCAATTCTCCATAAATTATACATAATTTCGAAAAAAGCTATTGACTATGTACACTGCAATCGGCAAATAATAAGAAAATTTTAGCAAGTTATGTTAGGAAAATCTTTTGCACTTGCTGACCACAACTTGTAAAGGTTTGTTGTCTAGTTTAATCGAACGTGTAAACTGATTTTACACAAAACGTGTAAACGTGTTTCGTGTAAAAACTAATTTATTTGCAATCAGACTTTTTTCCACATCTTGATATGAGTGCAAGCTCTTTGAAGAGATTAGATTGTTTTTATTTATTTTCTTGAAAACTGGAGATGACACATCACCGGTGTAACTAGGCGCTGGTTTATCGATGTCGAGCAGCCCTTCACTGGAAAAGGTTAAGTTTTCATTGAATTAATCTTTCTCAGAAATTTAAAATTTTTTGTGGTTGTTTTGCTTTTTAGGTTTTAACTCATTTAATATTAGTTTTGAAACGTGTATCAATAAAAAAGGCTATTGTATAATTGACATTCCCGTTAAAGTAAAACCATAAACTAAACCTATTAAAATTCAGGTTACTGTGAAGATATTGTTTTAATTAAGTTTATAGTTCTTTACGCTATACCTATCTACAGCAACTTTTAAAATTACCTCAGATATATACTTTAGCTGATTATTTTAATAATCTTCTAAAATAGTTTGAAGAGTCACTAATGAAACAAAAACGCCCATAGCGTAGGTAACGTATCCACTAAAATGAAGCTAGTCGGAACCTTCAAAAGTTTCACTGAATATTTGACAGCCGAATATTCGGCACTGTCAAATATTCAGTATTCCACAAAATCACTGTTCGTGACATCTCACTATTCGTGACATCTCTAGTAAAAAAAACTAAGGTTGTTATTTTTTAAATTAAATACTCTTTCCCCTTCTCTTGAAACGCCTCGTTTGTCTCAAGAATTCCCTTAAAACGCCTCGTTTGTCTCTGGAATTCCTGCATCCAGGACGTATTAATAGATGGACGTTTAACGTATTGTTTAAAAGCCTATTCATTGTTAGAAATAACAATAGCAAAACAGTAGAGAACTATTTTTAACTTGAGAATATTTTTACTTGATTTCACGTCAAAATAACGATAGTCTCGCCTAGCCTTAGAAATATTTAAGCATTCCATAACACCTAAAAACTCTAAAAAGTTTTTAAATAAGTAAAACCTTTTCATTATATGATCTATAAACTCAAGCGAAATCTTTACATGGAAAAAGTTAATCACAGAAAAATATTAAAACAAAATTGTCAGTGAGACAAAATTTCCGACAAAAATGAGAAATTTAAATACTTAAAATAAAAGTGAAAACTAAGTGTAGGGAATAGAGACCACAAGTAATCTATAGTTTGATCTATATATGATCTTCAGTTTTACCTACAACATCTAGAAAATTCGTTTCACTTTGCAGTATTCCTTCTTGCAAACTAAATATCAGTTTTTTACAAAAATATGATTTTTGACGTCTAAGTTTTATTAATAATTAGTTCTTATTAAAAAAGCGCTCACGTATATAAAAAGCGCTCACGTATCAAATTTGACATTTTAAAACAGATGAGCTATTTCTGATTAATTAAAATGCATTAATTTTAATTTAAACGTCCGTCTATAATTACGTCCTTGATGATAGTTACAAAACTTTGAAAAACCATTTCTAATACTCGTTTAGAATAATCATTAACCATTGTATCAGAAGCAATTTCATTAGAGAATTATATTAAAAACACTTTTAATGATTGCAAAACTATTTCCTTGGAGATTAATTCCACACAGACAATTTTTGCTTAAATGGAATAAAAATTCGATAGAGTTGGAATAACAATATGGGAAACTACACTTTGCAGAGGCTGATCCAGGTTATTATTCTAGGGGGGTAGTCGGACCAGAAAAAAAAAGGTTTGCGTTTTTTTAAGTACTTTGAGTTTTTTAGGTACTTTTGAGTTTTAAATTCGAGTTTAGCGATAAACTTCGTGTTAGAATTTTTTTTTTTAATTTTTGAGGGCGCTTACACCTTAACTAAAAAGTTTCATTTTTTATAATTATTTGCAAAAGTTTTGAGTATTTAAAAAATTCTAATTTTTTTTTTAAACTAATAAACTAAATAGAATAAATTAGTAGTTTTATTATTCAAAACAAAAGTTAAAGGTTGGAAATTTTACATCTGCGCCATTGGCGAATAAATCTTTTTTGACAAAATAAATAAATATAAGTAATTAAATGATTTTGACTACAATGACTGATTTTGATCAAAGTTTTTAAGAACAAGTCGACATGCTAAATTTTTTATCTATTTTATCCGTTGCCATAACGTTAAATATTTATTTTTAATAATTGGAAATTGTAAAATTTATTAAAAAAATATCTGCTGTTTAAAAAAATTTGCGACCACATTAAGCTAATAGTTTTGCCAAATTACGACAAGAAAAAAATTTATTAATTTTAATTATATATACTTTTATAATTATTATTTATATTTTACTCTATACTTTTTAAAACGTTTAAAAATATAGACTCGTTATAAAAGTTTTAGGCGATTAAAAGTTTAAAACGTTTAAAAGTTAAAAATATATTCGATAGTCCTAGAAAAACAACCGCTCTGACATTTTTTTCTAAAAGCTCTTGACTTAACTACGTTAACAAATAGAAGAAAGAGAGGAAACATGATTCAACTTTTTAAAATCTTTAACAGTTTCAACAAGTTAGAAACAAAAAGAAAGTTTATTTTTCAACTAACTCAAACAAGAGGTAACCGGTTTAAATATGTAAAAGAAATCACTAAGCAAGCTTATCGAGAAAACTTTTTTTTTAAAATCAGCTAATTTATGGAATAGCTTGCCGAACGAGTTGGTTAATTCAGAAACAGTTTTAAAGCCGGTCTTGATTGCTGGATGAGCAGCAGTCAGGCAAATCAGCTGTCATAGTGTGCTAATAACACACTCACTGGTTCATACCAGTTACAACATATAATAATAATAATAGTCAATAAATCATATAAAACAAAACTTTGATGTCAAATATTTAACATTTAGTTCTCAGTTAATATTTTAATTGCTCGTTAACTTATAGACAAACGCGTAATAATTTTTCATCACATTCGCCGGTGGGAGGCAAATATTTCCGCCTCCGATTTGGCGGCCGCAGCCAGCTGGGAGGCAGAAGTTTTTGGAGGCGGCTTCCAAATGGTTTTGCCTTCAAAATTTCTTCTGTAGGCGGCCACCATTGGCTTCCGCCTCTCTATTGGCGTTGGTCTGTAAAGCATTTTGCCTCCAAAAAACTGCGAAAGGCGGAAGCCAGTGGAGGCGGAATAAATAAAATTTTGCCGCTAAAAATTAATTGGGGGGCAGCCGTCGTCTGCTGGGGAAGAAAAGTGGAGGCGAGAATATTTACGCCGTTTATCAACACTGATTTGCAATTCATTTTCAATAATACAAAAATATTTATAAATGATAAAAGCAAAAATCAAATAAATTAGCTAAACAAACAAAAAAGAAAATACTAGAAAAAAAGAAAAGAAAAAAACTAATGCAATGCAATAAAGTGTAAAAACTTTTATTTAAAAATTAAGACATTAACATGAAGTAAAGAATTTATAAAATTCATACTAGCAACAACCAACAAATATAAAACAACAGAAAAGTATGCACATGCGCAATTGCGCCTGAAACGATTGATTACAAAAAAGGTCAGCAATAATTTAAAAATTAACAAAATAAACATTAACAAAATTACGTTCAAAATAAAATCGTAAGTAAAACTAGAACATAGAAAAAACCCTTACAATAAACTCTCAAAATTAGTAAGATATTAAACCGTATTTCTCAATTATAATTAAATGGTTCATACCATAACCGACAATGAAAACAAAGTATCTTTTTTTTAAAAAAAAAACTACAAACAACACCATTTATTAGTATCTTGTTCCTGATTGTAATCCACCTTTAACAGCTTCAGCAGCTGCATTTTGAACATTTTTATTTGAGGCTACACCGCGACCAAATTCAACTTGCGCTTTTTCAAAGCTTGCTCCACTTCGTCTGTAAGCAGAATGAACCTAGAAATAAAAAGTTTTGATCAAGTTGACATCTATTAACAAATTCGTATTTTAAATGATATCAAAATCTTGTGGAAGTAGTTGCCTCACTGCCCAGCAAAAAATTAAAGTAATCGAGTCTAAAGGAAATGAATTTTTAAGAATTCTATAAGATTTCAGCCAAAAAAGAAATAAATTAATAACTAAAACTTTCTTTCAATTTAACTTTACTAAATTTCTTTATAAGGTTTTTCCACGCTTGTGAGTTTGCATTGAAAATCTCGCACTCCATAGTCTAAAATAACTAGCCTCCCGCGAAAAATTTCCCGCTTCTATTAAAATTTAGAAAATATAATCACAAAACAAGATTACTTTAAAGATAATATTTACGAAAGTAAATTGTTGAGATAAATATGCGTAAGTAGCATAGGATAATACAGCTCATTTGAAAAATGTAGCCAATTAATATTGAGCATATAAATTAATGATTTTAACATTTATCGCTTGTTGACAATACAAAGAACACGAATAAAACTCTGCGCTAAAATGAGCTCAATTTCTGTTGAAATAAAAAAAATAAAAAGAAAGTTTTAATCTTCTCCTGTAAAACTATCTGTAGTATAGATACGTTGTATTATCCGATGCTAGTTACGCGGATTTGCTCTATTCCCAACGATATAATGTAAATTGATGTGGTTTTTTTTTGAAAAGTTTTCAGATAAGAGATAAAAACACGTTGAAATTTAAAAACACGTGATAATAAGTGTTTTCAAGCGCTATTTTGTTGTGCTGTATAATTTTGAAACCAAAAGTGTTCGTTGCGCAGAAGTGTTATTCGTTGCGCAGAAGTGTTATTCGTTGCGCAAAAGTGTTATTCGTTGCGCAGAAGTGTTATTCGTTGCGCAAAAGTGTTATTCGTTGCGCAAATTCCTTTAACAAAGTATTAATAATGTAAGATTTACAAAAATGTATCAAAAAACTAGTGCTGTTATCGACTTCGACTAAATCGACTAAAAGTCGACTGGTCAAATTAGTCGCCTAAAAAAAAAAAAACGAATAGTTGATTTAATCGAATATAAACTTCCTACTAAAACTTCCTGAAAATCTTAAAATTCTTTATCTTGTCATTCAATTTGACTTTCCAATTTTTTATTTTTGTTTGTTTGTTTAAAAATAACTATACAAAAATGTACTATTATAACTAGAGATGTCACGGTAGTGGTTTTGCCGAATACCGAATATTCAACTAGACGCTCGGCCGAAGGACTAAATATTCAGCAGCCGAATGACACTTTCCTATTTTGAGGGTTCCGACCTGGTTCATCGAAGTGTGTATCTTAGGTATACTGGCAAAACAAGTTAAGTCAAAAAGTCGCAATTTTGACCTAATGATGCAGTATTGTAAAGTTTACACACTCTACAAACTGGCAAAATGCAAGTCGAATGAAACATTTTTAAATTGGATGTTAACAATGTTAAAAATAACATCTTTAAATATGTTTAAATGTATTTTTATAACCAGAGAAAAGCTTTTTCTCTGGTTATAAATTTTTAAGTTAACTCGTAAAACTGGTTATTTATTTAATAGCTTTTATATAAAATAAAAAATAAAAAATATTAAATAAATAAACACTAAACATTATGGTGTATTTAAATGTCAACACCAAATGCAATTTAATAAGATTACAAAAAGTTTCAAATTTGAAGAAAATATAAATGATTGATTTCTCTTAACAAGGATTTTTGAGTTAACGTTTTTGTTAATTTATAACTTAGCTGTGTAACAACAGCACACATTATATTGACATTACATGTTGACTGATACGTCATTTTGACTATAGTTATGTATAAACGTATCATACTCTTCAAACCACTCAAAAAGATTACAAAAATAAACAACACAGGTATTTGCATTTCAGAGGTAATTTCATGATATAGATAGATCTTCATTACAACCTTAATTAATATAGATAGATCTTAACTTCAACCTTATTAACTTAAAACATCGTTTAGCTTTTACAAATTAAAACATCGTTTTATCTTACAACTTAAAACATCGTTTAGATTTAATGGGAATGTCGACTTTACGGTTGCGATAAAACGATGCGATAAACCCTCAATAAAAAACTGCTTTGCAGTGACTTTGTGACTATTTGCGCCGGTAATGATTTAGCTCTCCTTCGTAAGAAAAAGAGATGTAAATGAAAACAATCAAACTACTCTCAACGAAAAAATGCACACATATGAAGATGTGAGAAATAATAATTCCTATTGCAAATGATATTAGTATTTGCATGACACCGTTGCTTTAATTGGATAGCAAACCCTTACAAGTGTTGGTCAGCTAACGCGAAACATTATCCTAACAGAACTTGCTAAATTTTTTTTATTATTTGCCAGTGTAAATAGTGAATGGCTATTTTAGGAAGTATGACATCTCTAATTATAACTAGAGTTGCTACTCAAAAAAAATCAACGTGTTTTTTTTTGCAAGAGAAACAAAGCATTCCTAAAAACATGTTTTTAATGTTTTTTTGTGTTTTTTAAGTATTCTTTAAATTTTAGATGAACCTAAAAACAGTTTAATATACATGCTTTTTTGTTTAATATAATGTGCAATACCCTATAAATTAGCTATAAATATTTACACATCAATGTTAAAAAAAACGCTGCGAAATATAAAAAAAACTGTGTTTTGTAAAGTTTTATAATACTACTGTATTAAATTTTAAACATAGTTAAGGTATGTCCATTAGTTATTTCAATAAAATGGGGGAAAGAAGTCTGAAAATTTTGGATAATTGTTGAAAAGCAGAAAGGAGAAGTCAAGAAATGTTGACGCAAACAATGTTACTTTATAAAATAAATTAAATTATCAAAAAAAAAAAAGAGGATGTTTTTTTTAATTTAATTGTCTTAATGAGGTTAGGAAGAATGAGTGGAGGGGGGGTGTGTGTGTGTAGAAGAGTAGTCAAATGTTGACGTAATTTTATAGAAGAGGGGAGAAGCGCGCTCTGAAGTTTTGACAAATTGGCGACAAAAGTAAGGGAGGTAAAAATTGCCAAAAAATTGTTGACGTAATTAATAGACAGCCATGAGGTAGATTTTGAAGATTCAATTTTGTTAGTTTGTAATAGGCATTTTCGATCTTGTTGTATTGTTATTCATATTACTATGTTGTTTATATGCTCCAACACTGTCCAATACACTGCTAGTTAAATTTTATCGCTTCCATCAACAAGTACGGCAGTTGAAAAATCATTTAGTAGACAATCTTTAATCCACAATTAAAAGCAAAATAAATTTATACAAAAGCAGGCGTGTGCCATGGTACAGGGGTGCCACAAAATTAGGGGTCTCAAAAAACTGAAGATAAAAAATTGACTTGTGTTTTATGATGCACCTGGACAATGAATAACTTGGCATGCTAACTGCATCAGCTATCATGCACAACATTTAAACTAGACTAGGCGTTGTTATGATTAACTATCTGAAGGTTAAAAAACAAGTTTTTGCGGGTGCATCAGCTGACAACCGAATGTTTAGCAAGCTCAAGAAAGCTTTTCGAGGTTGAAGTTCAGCATTATGGTACACACTGTATACTTCATACGTTCGCTCACACTTAGAATTTGCAGTACAAGCCACCATTTCCAGCTCAAGACATAGCCAAACTCGAACAAGTTCAACACCAAGCCACAAAACATACTGCCAACTTAAAACACTTGCCTTGTATTCAGACACTATCAAGAATCAACTTGACAAAGCTAACTGAACAACGAGAAAGAGACCTTAATGAGGAAATCGACAAAGTTAACTTCTCAGTCCGCTAGCTTCAACCAAACGCTGAGCCTTTAAAGTACAGTCTTCGATCGTGAGGACACACAAAATAACTAAAAGCACAGCTTGTACGAAACTGTGCAGAAAGAAACTAACCTTATTATCAAACCACGGAATGCTTTTACCCAAAATGCGATGGACTCAAAGAATCTGAACAATTTTAAATATGAACTTTCTTTGCTCCGGCGTCTTAACTTTATCTGAAATCTAAATACTATATTTTCATTACAGAGTGGCCTGGTATGCCACACTTTGTTAATAACTTGTAAATTTTGTTTGATCATGAATAAACTAAATAAACAATATTGATGACTTGATTATAGTAGATATTATAATCAAAAACAAGTCTTATCCACAAAAAAAAAGTAAAAGGTGAACTTTGCTAGGTTATTTTAAAAAGAAATTATTGAAATTTTGATTTCAAAAATTATTTCTGGGATTAACACCCCAGGACCCTCGTGGGGGAATGGGCTTCCACATCAACATGGCATAGGGACCCCACAGGGGTCCTACGCCATGTAGACGTGGAATTAAATCCGGCCCTTGATTATCAAATGACAGAGTATTAAAATTAGTTTTTATTTCCCATAATTTAGATCATGAAAATCAAATATGTGATGCAGAATAATATATGACTTAAAGTCAAAGACAAGAATTCATTCTGGGCAGTGTTACTAAACAGAGTTACTGAACTGACGTTACTAAACAGAATGTTTAGTAAGGTTGGTTCAGTAACTTGTTGTTTAAAAAATAATTTAAATCGTTTTTTAGACAATTATTTAAAATCTTGTATTAATTGTAGTTAATAAGTTTCAAAATAACATGTAATAAGTTTCTTTAATTTAAAAAACCTAAAATTCAAAAAACAAACAAACAAAAAAAAAAAAAAAACGCTCCCCCCCCCCCCCGTATGAAGTATTTACTAAAGAGTAAATACTTCATACAGGGCCGCTTCAAGACAGCTTGGAGCCCTGGGGCAAAAATAAGTGAAGCTCCAATCAAAATGTTTTCTATACAATCACATTGTAAATATGATCATAAAGACTTTGATATATAGCAAGTATTTAAGGCAGTCCCTAAACTATTGGGGTCTGGTAACAAATTGTCCAGTTATCGAAGCGGCCGTTCTATTATTGTATTGCTTCATTAACATTTAAATGATACAATGTTAAAAAATAGAAAGCGAAAATAAATTACTTTTATATAATTAATATACTTTTATATAATTTTATATAATAAATAAATTATTACCATATTTCTAATAAATCGACTTTTAGACGACATAACAACACTACAAAAAACACGTATTCTTTGATGTTTTTAATTTGAAATATGCCATTGAAAAATAATGAATAACATGTTGTAAACTCCAAATCTAGTTTTGAGTATATACTAGTCATTTGCCAAATATTTTAGGAAATGGTTGAAAGCCTATCTACTATGAATATGCCTTTTGATTCTCACTATTCGTGTTTCATGCAAAGACAAAACTTTCTCAACATAAATAAATGTTGAGAAAGTTTTGCTCCAGTCGAAATGCAATAAAATAAAAAGTTAAATGTTACAAAAAAACATATGATATCAAAACATTTAACCAGTTGAAAAAAAAATTCAAAAATGAATACAATTACTTCTTGAAGATTTAGTTTATTATATTTTTATTTAATTTCTATTAAATTGAAATTTATTTGTAATCATCAAAATAAACCAAAAAAATTACTTTTACATTAAAAAATATTTACCTCAATATCCGCACATACTGAAATAGCTATTTTCAATTATATTTATTTTATGTCTAATAATGCTTTTAAAAAGTTGTGTGGCTATGAGAATAGCCAGGTTTTTTTTTAATTATCATTTAGGTATTATTGAACTCATTGTCGACAAGATATTGAACAGTAGTATCACCATTAAATTCTTCAGCAGTATATCTTTTGACAAAAAGGCTTCTGGTTAGCATAGATAGCATTACAATCCCATTTTCTTTTAATTAGCCGTCAGAATTAATCCAATCAAATCTCTTAACATTTTGTTGTGGTTCCATTTCAATTCCCGTTTGCAATTGTGATTGCTAAAATGATGAAAATCTCAGTTCAGTCTCGATAATTATTTCATTTGGGAGAATGCCATTTTGAATGGAAAATTGATATGATAAAATATAAATGGGAAATGTTTTTGCTAATATCTATATCCGCAAACTACTAAACACTACTATTGACAGAAACGACTAAAACATTTTAGATAAATTGGCTAAATTTCTGAGCTGTATAATTGACAACAGGTTGATTTTTTTGAAAAAATCCGCAGATGGGAGAAAAAACTTTGCATATTTACCACTGTATCTGCCCATTTAAGCAACGCTGGTAAAAAAGGTGTTGTGAACTTTCAGTTTAAATTCTCTTCCATGATGCTACAGTAGAGGCTCTCTTGGAGCATAAAATAACCAGAAGATAAAAAAATTTAATGAAAATTTGTTATTGAGCCTAAAGTTATATTTTTCCACCTCCATGTGTATTTTTCTTTTTTACATCAGAGATCAAATATCTCAATGTTATTCTCAAATATTATTATATCATGGTATTTGTTTAAACATCTTTAACGCAAAATATGCCTTAAACAAAAACCTAATAATATTTAAGCTATCATTCAGAGTAGTTTATGAGTTTCAATCTTTTGCTAATATGTTTTCATTTTAGCAAAGAATTAACAATTAGTTTAGATAAGAATTAACAACTTTTAACAACAGAATCGGTTTTTATAGGTTTAAATAAAGTTATAATACATCTGCATCTGCTGCAGATGTATTTTATCACAGCACCAAGGCAACAAAATAACAGAAGTTGCACCAAACCCAGATTGCATTAACTTTACACAAAGAACTCTAAACTGTTATTTACATATTTACATAGAGGGTAGAGAGGAGCATATAGGTACACTTAAGAAACAAATGCTAGTTGTGGATAAACTAAACATAATTAACACTGTTTTTTATAAATTTCCTAAAATTCATTGGTATAAGAAAAAAAAAAAAAAAAAAAAAAAATATTTCTAAAAATAAGCTACGACAATTTTTTGAAATTACAATTACAAAATTTTTTACATTTTGCAAGTATATGGGGCAAAATGGTACAGTTAAAAAGCAACAGTTATTTGTTAATTGTAAAGCTTTAAATGATAAAAAATGAAGGCTATCATCGTTTAAACATGTTCAGACATTAAACTCTCAAAAAAGTAACATACCCATAGAAACTACATGCACATACACCTATACACCACAAAAAAGAAATAACAACTAAAATATATATATATTTTTTTTGTTAAATTATATAATCTCCACTCTACCCTAACCTACATATCATTAAATTGGTAACTACAACTAAATTTAAAATTAAAAAAAAAGTATTATGGATCACATAAATCACACAAAAAATATCCTGAAATATCCTGAGCTGGCTTTTTAGCAATATGCCAATGTAGAGCAAATTTAAATATGCCATATCTATCAGAAGTTTTTCTTGTTCTAAGTTCCTTTTGACTCAAAGCTAAAACTGCATTTCATCTCATTTTGGATGATTGATTGAAAATGGTAGTAATATAGTAAATTATATAAATAACTTGTTCCGATATGCCCTATAAAAGTCATTTTACTGAAATTAATGCTATTTAAAAAATTTAATTCCAGACATCTTTTTAAAACCAGATTCTAAACGAGGATAAAAAAAATACTGTCTAAAAAGTATTTATAAATAAAGCAAATTAGCAATTATTTAAAGATAAATCTTTTGTAATTGTATTACTTGAGAAAATACACAAATTTTGTTTTTCACAAACTTACTGATGAATTTTGGTACTTTTAATGCATTTTTGTATTTCTTAAATAATTTTTTTTTTTTACAATAATGAAGCACAATAATTTAAAATGTTTTATCAAAAAAAATAATTTTTAGCTGAGATAAAAGGCTTCAGGCATAACTGTCCTGTTATGCCCCACTATCCCAATATGCCCTGCTCTATCCTTTCTGCGTTTTATCCCCTAATATAATAATTTAGACTTCTTAAAAAAATAAATATGAAACATGTGACTCCACAATCAGATTATTAAAACTTTAATCAGATAGTAACACTTAAAATCAGATATTAAAACTACTCCTTATGTTTTACAAATTTATAACTAAATAATCAACTAAAAATGATAAAAACACCTTTCACAACAGAAAGTAAAAATACCTTTCTCAACAGTAAGAGATTAAATATAGCAAGTAGGGTCCATAAAGTAGCAGTCACAAACATCATTCCTGCAACTGCCTTATTATTGTTGACTTCGCTTGCACCATTAATCCACCCACTAAAATGAAAACAATCATATAACCAAATTTTTCATCATAAATATATAACTATAATAATATATAACCACATAATATATAAAAATATATAGCCATATTATTAAATAAACACAAAATAACACACAGTGTGTGTAATTTTGTGTTTATTTCATTTAATAATATGATTATTATATTTATATATAACAATATTATTAAATAGTATAATAAATTAACAATATATATATATATATATATATATATATATATATATATATATATATATATATATATATATATATATATATATATATATATTACATATATATAATATACATGTATATATATATATATATAATAAAATAAATAATTAAATATAATAATAACAACAATAACATCAACAACAACATCAATAATAATAACAACAATAGCATCAATAACAACATCAATAATAGGACTGTCAACAACTTCAACAACAATAACAATAATATAAATATTACTAAATAAACTTTTACAAATAATATTTTAAGTAAAAAAACAAACAAACATTAAAATCATATTTTTTACAAGCAATAAAACATTTACCAAGAGCCAAACAAACCAATTCCAAGTGCACAAATAACATCATAAATGATTTGAAAAAAAAAGACGAAGAAAAACATCATATAATTAAACGAACTGTCACTTCTAAATAAAACAAAGAAAAATGCCAGTTATTTAAATACTCAAACACTTTTTTAGTTACATACAAACTTCACTTATTTTAAATTATTATTAAAATCACTCTTTTTTTTTTTTTTTTTTTTTTTTTTATTTTAATTCACCTTTTCAAGGCCGAGAAGGCCACTACAGACGAGGAGGCTACTTATTTGTGGCTATAACCCTCTCTCAACTCTATAACTCCGAAACACGAACCTTGACGAACAAGGCCGCTGCGCGGAGAAACGAGTTGAGCGCGGTACTACCAGGGACGTGGTGAGGATTGAACTCGGAACCACTCGTTTATGAAGCGAGCGCTCTACCACTACACCACTACCGCATTTTAGTCACATTTAGTGACATATAAAAGAAATAAATCAATTATCTAATAAAAAATAACAAGTGTTAACATTTTTATTCTGATTTTGTAACTAAAAGATGAGTCAAATTGGCTAGGTTATTTAAAAAGTTTTTTTTTACTTGCTTGAGGCAAGGATTTAATTTAAAAAAAAAAAAAATTAAATCCTTGTAAAATACTTCTTTTTGAAGTATTTTACTGGCAAAAAACTTTGTTAAAGTTTTTTGCCAGTAAAATACTTCAAAAAATCTCAATAAAGCAACGTTCTGGGATGTTTGGGGTGTGTGGGGGAAGGAGGGCAAGAAGGGGAAGGAGGGGGTGAAAGTTAAAATACATAACTGGATACATAACTTATTAATTCTACTTAAAGAATGAAATCACTTTTAAATATATATATATATATATATATATATATATATATATATATATATATATATATATATATATATATATATATATATATATATATTATGTATATATATATATATATATATATATATGTATATATATATATATATATATATATATATATATATATATATATATATATATATATATATATATATATATATATATATATATATATATATATATATATATATATATATATACAGTTTACTCTCGATAACACAAACCTCCAAGGAACCAAGGAAAATAATTTGACAAACGTTTGACTAAAGCAAATTCCCCTTAGGTAGAACTTTTGACTGATATGAAATATTAGTTTAAGTTAAGGAAATTTTTTCTTTATTTGATGCTGAAGTTTGATCTCTCTAAAACTATTACCTCATTCTTCTTCATCATCTGAATGGCCCTATCATTGTACCTCTTACAACTACCTTAAAGCTGACTGGGATTCTTTTTGTGATTTTCTTAGTAATGGCCCTTGGGTAGAAATCTTTCGTCTTCCTGCTGGCAAATGTGCTCCTTACATAACTTTATGGATTCAAGCTGGCACGAAATCTTATATTCCCTCTCAACAATTCCAAGTCAAGCCTCACTCTTCTTAATAGTTTTCCTCGCATTGTGCTGCTGCAATTTGCAATCAAAACTGTTACTTCCATATCTATCAGCAAAACAACTCTCCAGAAAACAGATGTCTGTTTATTACTGCTAGGAAGGATTGTAAAAAGGTTTTGTGTAACATTAAAGTCCACTATTCTCAGGTCATGAACTTCATCACAAAAATTTGGCTGCCATGACTTCTGGAGAACCTTTAATAGTATCAATAATAAGAGCAAATCTGTTATTACACCTCTCTTGTATGGCTCAGACTTTGTCACCTCACCTAAAGACAAAGCTGAATTGTTTGCTAAGAACTTTTCATCAATATCATCTCTTGATTCTACTAATTGGGTTCTAACTGATATTACCGACAAACAGGTTGATCCATTGCTTGACATTCGTATTGCTTCAGCTTCTATAGTGATTACCTGCTTAGAATTTTCTACAGTTTGTGGTCAGACAAAATACTTATTATAGTCTTGCAGAAGTGTTATCTGGAGCTGTCGTCCATACTTTCAAAACTATTCAACAAGTGCTTTTCAGAGTCATGTTTTTCAGCCTGATAGAAAGCGGCATCTGTTATCCCTATTTTCAAAAATTTTGGAGAGCAATCTGATTTGTTTAACTACTATCCCATTAGTCTTTTTCCTATTATAAGTAAGTTTTTAACACCTAATCTCTGATCTTGAATCTAATAACTTACTTTTTGATCATCAATATGGATTCTGATCTTATTGTTCTACAGCTGATTTGCTAACATAATAAATGATAGGTTTTATTGTGCATTAGATAAAAGTGGAGAGGTTAAGGCTCTTGACATTTCTAAAACTTTTGATAAAGTTTAGCATGCTGGTCTTCTCCTTAAGCATTCTTCATACGGTGTATCTGGTAACATCTTTAAGATTATATAACCCTTCCATTCCAATCGTAGTTGTTCTCAATGGATAGTACTCTTCTTCATATTCTGTAACTTCAGGTTAAAGGTTTAACTTAAGGTTTAATCCTTGACCCTATACTCTTTTATACTTTCAATTATACTAATAAAAGCATGAAAATGTTTCAATGAAAAAAATCACTGATTTTAATCAGGAAGTACAGTCAGAAGATAACATTCAAAAAAGTTTATCAAGGCAATTACTTTAGTATGATTTAGGGCCTACTCTAGGAAAAAAAAATTTAATACTTAAAAAAATATTTGCCATAAAAAAATTTGAAAAAAGTCCTTAAATTTTAATTTGGGCCAAAAATGCCACACAAAAATACAGTTGACACTATCAAAAACGGTCTAGAATAGCATCTGAGGTATAAAAATTGCGTCTAAAAACTAGTAGTTTTATTATAATTATATATATATATATATATATATATATATATATATATATATATATATATATATATATATATATATATAATATATATATATATATATATATATATATATATATATATATATATATATTCAAAACCACCCAAATTGAATTTTTTCCCATTCTAGTGTTTGTGTACAGTGTAAAAAAAAGTTTTACTAAATTTTAATGACTATTTTAGAGCCCCCTCAAAGCCCCTAAAGATAAGCCCCAATTTCCTGTTTAACCCATTAATGCCTGAGTTTTTTGTTACATTTTACGATTTATAGAGCGTCCCATTTTTTGGGATGCTACGCACGAATGGGTTAAAACAGTAGCACATTTTTGCATTGATTACAAATTTCATAAACAAGCAAATTAATATTATGATATTGACACAATTTAATATGTAATATTGACTGTTGAAATTATTTTGCTGTTTCTTGTTTTAGTTAAATAAACTAAAACTGAAATGTTGACAAGAAGTGGTAAAGTTGTAGAAACTGAACTCAAGTCTTTGCCAACCAGTTCCAGTTGTTTGTCAGGCACAACTAACCAGCCTTCACCGTTGTCATCATCATCAGCAACAAGGCCTGTTACTCGTGCCTCTACTAAGTTTTGGTTAATTAGACACCCATCACCATCAATAACTGGTTCCAAACTACCCAATTGCAGACAGGTTTTGAAATTTTTTCTTTTTTTACGACGCGATGAAGAAAATGTCTGAAATCATGTAACAAATCAAGAAATTGGCTCTATAGTAATCGACGCTGCTGTAACTTTCTGGAACATGGCACACATCAAGACAAAGACAAGACAAAATTTGGTGTTAGATCTTATGTGTCTCTGAAATGAGTGGAATCGCTTGTTGAAGAACAAGAATCGCGAAAGTGATGCTGGCAGAAAACGTGTTAACTTCTTGGCCAAGTTAGATAGTCTTTTTGATATTGGATCACCTGATGCTATACAGGGAATCATGAAATCCAGGTTACTGACTGCCCAAAAGAAAGATGATGTTGCATTCTATTTAGATAAAAAAAAGACAGAAAGGCGACCATGGACAGGCATGACAAAATCTTTGAGATTAAAGCAAAAATGAAAGAAGTCAGATATAATCCAAAAATCATACTTAGAGATGAAGAAAAAGAAAGAGTAGAAAAAGAAGGTAGACAGGATGATCAGGATGATGAGGACATGAGGAAGTTTATGACGAAGAATATTAATGAAAATATTGCTGTTACTGAAGTAGATATTGGTTTAATTTGGGAATTGAATTATGAACCTCAATGAATAGATGATCAGAATTTGTTACTCTTCACCTCCCCAAAAGAATTATGCAATGCGAGGAAATCACTTCTGCAGCAGACAGGCTGAAATTGTCTGATAATAAAACAACTATGATTGTGCCTGCTGTAATTAAAGCTGCTGGTGGAAACTTGGATGATTTTGATATCTCCAGATCGACATCTCGTCGAACTAGAATGATAAATCGACAGAGGATTGCTGAGAGTGTTATAGATAATGTGAGACTCAACCCACCCCAGTTTGGTGCACTTCACTGGGACGAAAAATTGCTAAAAGACATACTAGACGTGCAACATGAACAGTTAGCTGTGCTTGTGTCCGGTGCTCCAGAATACAGTGAGGGAAAATTGCTTGGTGTTCCCGTTCTCATTGATTCAAAAGGACAGACTCAAGCAAATACAAAATGTTCATGTTTTCTAAACAATTGCCTTATGATCAGAGGATGACAAACAAACTTTTTAGAATGAACAGATATCTTTCTCTTTTCCACACACGAGCTTGGACAAAAGCTAGCATTGGTGCTGATGCACCTATGAATGACCTGCAATTCATCCACGACATGATGGACTACAAAGAAATAGACAAGGAAGTTGCTGATGTCATTCTTTCTAAAATAACCAATCACTGATGGTATTTGACAGAAGAGGTAGTTCCATTTGCTTTCTTCAGCAAACATGTTAGTTCACTGTGAAAAAAAATATGGCAGCCAAAATCTTGGAAATTCCAGTACCTGAAAATTTTTGTCTTGGTAAGCCAGTTTTTCATCAAATCACTTGTCAAACAGGTTTGTCAAATCTTCTGGGACCTGAATCTCACTCATTGTTCAGCATTCTTGGCATCAATACAGATTGGCTTGCTAAACCAATTAAACAGCAGACAGAGCAACCAGGATACAAAGAAGCTGAACAATTTGTTTGTATGGTAAAAGTTGTAAATGATACCGCAGAAAGAGGAGTTGAACTGATTTCAGAATTTGCCACCATCATAACCAGTGATCCAGAACAAAGAGAATGGTTGCTGCAGGGCGTCGAAAATCACAGGCAGCAATATCCTAATTTTGGCAAAAAAAAACTCTTGGACAATGAAACAACATTAACATTCAGAAAGACAGTCTTAATTTTAGTTTTGGGGTTCCCGTCTGATACTTTGACTATAATTGTTAACCAAAAATGCAACACTAGCTTGGTTAAATTGGATAATTTAACATATATTATGCAAGCTGCTTTTGTTTGGCTTGATTTCTGTGATTTAATTTCTAAATACTTGAAAAATGAGATTCACAATAATTATTTCTCTGTGTTTTAACTAAAAAAGATACTGTTTTAGACAGGAAATTAGAGCTTGTCTAAAATATTTTTACTTAAAAAACAAAGCAATCAAACTTTGACATAAACCCCCAGACATGCTATTTTTACCCCACCCCCTCCCCAAAGAAAAAAAATAGCTGGCTTTCCATATATAAAATTTTTTTTATATCTGCTATATATAGAAAACTAATAATTTTTTAAATAATAAAAATAAACGATTTAATACTTTGTACCATCTTAAAAACCACTTTAAATTAATAACATTTGTTAAAAATATTAACAAATTGGTCTCTGATATAAAAAAAAAAAAAAAACTAAAACTAAACATAAAAAATTTAAAAATTAATCTGAATAAAAAGTTTAAAAAAATAAAAAAATATTTAAAACTATCACATTACTTTTAATTCCTTTTGTTTGTAACTCTAGATTTATTATTTTAACAAGGCATTACAAAAAGCCTTTATCATTTCATTGTTGATTTCTACTTGATGAGCCTTCAATTTGTTAGATATCGTGAATTCATTGTTAGTTCACAAAAGACAAGTGACTTTTCTATCATGTTTTCTTTAAGTGAATTACTGTTTAAACAGTGAAGCTCTTAACTAATGCTTGACCATGAACTAACCTAAAAACTTGCATCAAGACTTAAGACAAAATTTTGTATTTTATATCAACCTCTTTCATTTTAAAATTGATCCAAAAAACTTTTCATTGTGACATTTTTTTTTAACGCTGGGGTGTTTGTCTAATATCCCAATAAGATTTTCTGCAATGAACTATCAATATAACCAATTAAGTTCAATTTAAAGAAAGTTAATTCTTCTTTAGTTCAGTGACAGTTACACAATCAGCTCTTTTGGCAGAAGAACCATCAAAAAGGTAAATCATTGCATAAAGCTTTCATTAACTTCCTTGATTAAAATCCTTCTTTTCCTAACCCTAACCCTGAAATGGAGGTTGCAGCTCCTAATTTTAAGAAGTTTAAGTAGCTCTAGTTGCCCAGACTGCTTTTTAAGAAGATCAAGAAATAACCAATTTACTTTTAATTTACAATTTAGGGTCACCCATACACAGTTTTGTCAGATTTATGCAATTAATTGTTGCAAAAGATATGGTCATTTTTTTTAATAAATTTTTTGCAGGGGTAACCCAAAAATTAAGAGTCAAAGTATTTCTATTCAACAGGATATAGTCCGTTAATTCGAAAACGAATACTTAGATTTAATTGACATTTTTGTCCAAAACCAATATTAATAACCAAGTTTTTTTCTACCCATCTCATAGGACTCATCAGTTGTGTTATCAGGAAACATTTTTTGATATATTAGACATTTTTCAGGCTTGGTCGGGAAGTGGGAGCAATTGCTCTCGATTGCTGACCATGGAAATAATATTTAGTTGAAAATATGCCAACCTAAATATGCCAAGTTTCAAAGATCAAAGAGAAGTAATGTGGAGGGAAGAAAATATGTTCAGAAGTCAAAACCAGTATCCTGTTTCTTCAAGCCTGCACAGTCAACATCCAAAAAGCAAGGAGTTGTTATAGTAGATCAATCTGATAAAATTTGTGCAGAAATCTCTTTTGCATGCAGTACAAAAACATTTACTTATTGAAGTTGTGAGAATGAAAAGGCAGGCTTGGTCAGGAAGCATGAGCGATTGCTCTCGAATACTGACCACGGAAATTATATTTAGTTGCAAAAAATTGGCCAGGTTTTTTAGTCGTTTTGAGAACATTTAAGTTTATGTACAAAACAAAAAAATTTTTGTTTTACAGACATACATAGAAACATAAAAAACTTAAATGTCTTGGTGCGGAAGAATAAAAATAATATTAGCAAACACTAAAAACCCGCTAAATTAACGAACAAACTAATTCTATTGGTTCAAAATATACGCTGACTAGGCCTTCTATTATACAGGATTTGTTACGTATTGAGATTTCTAGCATAAATTGTTTTAAGAATAAATATCAATACTGTGACTCATTCTCGGAGCCACATCTGCCACACAAATTCTCGGAGCCACATCTGCAAAGCCGTAAATCTTATAAACTATTACTATTTGTTTACAAAATTTTATTTACAATTTAATTACAAAAATAAATGTTTTAAACATATATTATTTAAATTGTCAAAATTTTGAAAGTTTATTATATATTATAGATTTTATTAGTATATTTGTATTTTTTATTTAAAAAGTATGTATTTTTTATTTAAATGTACTTTTGTGTATCTGTTTTTTATCGTAATGTAATCTTTTAAAGCAATTTTTATGATTTACTTTGTAAACAAGGACTTACAAAAATAATTGCATTTTTAATAAAGTTATTAATAATTATTAAAGTTAATAAAACTAATTATGTAACAAACATATAAGAAATTTCTGGTTACTAAACACAAACAAAACATACAAAGTAATTCGCGGATGAAAAAGCACCGCGCCTGAGGTCGTGACAGAACACAAATATATATAGCAAGTTATTAGATATAAAGAAAAGTTTCTAGATATTGGTTAACTAACTCTAATTACTTTCTCTTAAGTTGCCATTCTAAAAACTCGTTATACTTATTTCTGTTTAAGATACTAATTAAAATTAAAAACCCCACTCACTAAACATCATCAGCGATATTGTGAAGCAGTTTCGCTTCCTTGTCTTTTCAGTTGATTTCTATCTAGTAAATTTAATTTTTATAATAATTCAATGATTTAATTATTTCATTTGTTTGTCTTACTAAGAAGAAATGTTTCAAACATGTTAAATTTTTCAAACAACGTGAAACATAAAATAGGTATTAAAAAGATTAACTTTTTTATTTAAAAAATATTTTAGCATAGATAAAACTAAAACTTGCAAACTTTGTTAAATAAAGAATATTTGTTTCCTTTTTAAACAATCGTAAGATGTTACTTTATATAAAAAACATCACTTAATTTTATAAAAAAATTATAAAAGAGCGATGTCTCGAAAATATTTGTTCTAAACGTAATTTATTTTGCTTTATGTTTTTTCGCGTTAAAAGATAATTTATTTTACTAATTTTTTTTTTTTTGTAGTTGTCTCTCATCGGTCCAATTAATCTTTTTTTTTGTGCATTTTTTCTTTGCTTTTTAAAATGTTCTCGAAACAACTAAAAATTATGGCCAGCTTTTTGCAACTAAATATTATTTTCGTGGTAAGCAATCGAAAGCGATCACTTCCGCTTCCCGACCAAGTCTGCTTCATAGGACTAACTCTCTGAAACTTTTCACAATGCATTGATAAACATTTCAAGAAAGATAAAAAAATAAACATTTTTTATCATTTAATGAAAAACATTGAAACCTATTGTGTGTTTTTTTTTATTGAGTTCTAAAACTGACACACTTTGTTATTGTATTTTAATGGTCTTTTTAACCCTTTGTAATAGATTTTTGTAATAAAGTAATTAATTTGTATCCCTTATAAAAACAGGGATTTTTGTAAATTTTACTGAAGATGAACTATGTAGTTTAAAACATATGTATCAAACATTTCAAAAGTGTTATTAATTTTTTTCATATACATACATACATACATACATACATACATACATATATACATATATATATATATTATATATATATATATATATATATATATATATATATATATATATATATATATATATATATAAACACACACACACAGTTAATGAGCACAAAAAACAAGTATAAAAAAATAATGTTTAAAGATTTAATTATTGCAAAACAAAAATCCAATAGAAATTACTTTAGAGCTTTGTATATGGGTCTATACCAACATATAAATGAACAAGGAATAAATAAAACCATGTAGAGTATTGATACACCTAAAGTTGTGCCTCCATCTTTACCACCTGTTGCTAGAAGTGCTATTGCCGTAATGAAATTGAAGAATAATGTAAAGCTGTACACTATAACATAATAAAAATAAAAAAGTTTTGTATAAAATGAATTAGTTTAAAAGCAGTCATAAAGACAACAAAATGATTCCACAGATGACACAAAGACAGTATTAAAATCAATGAATATTTTTTCTAAAACAAACTTCAAAACTTTTTATTTAAAAAAACAGTTTTTCAATAATTTAACATTTTTCAAAATTAGTAAAACCTTTTTAACATTTGATCAACTAATACTTATCAAAAACAATCTTTTTTTGAAATTTTAACTGACTATATCTACTTTTTGTTTATGCTTATATATATATATATATATATATATATATATATATATATATATATATATGTACTTTTTAAAAAGATAGTGGAATTTGTAATACTTCAACTTTTAAAACCTGATATAATGTGATATACAGCAAAAACGAATCGACTGTGTAGAAAAATCCTTTTTTTACTTTCAATAACTTTTTTTTTTTACTTTCACAAACACTACTTTCACAAACAATACTTTCATATAAAACAATTGATACTATTGTGACTGTCTTTTGAAATTTATTTTGAAATTTATTAACCTTCAATATTATATTTTGAAATTTATTAACCTTCAATATTATATTTTGAAAGTTATTAACCTTCAATATTATATTAAAACTTTTTATTTTGCTGTCATATTTTTGATCTGCGGTTAAAAACTAAACTAACCCACAATAACGCTTTCATTCAACTGGAGTGACACTTTTGACTTTAAAATTGATAGGAGTAACATATTTAATTGACTAAAATGACACTTTTAATTGACAAGAATGACACTTTTGACTTTATAGAATAAACTTAGGAATAGGAATTGACTTTTGAAATAGACTAATTTAACTAAATACTTTTTAAGTAACTTTAAACAAAATTAAAAGCTTGAATTTGATTGTAAAAATGAATACTCACATTGCCAAAGATAAAACAATATTTTGCATGTTCTTTGAGATTCTATTGGAATTTCGAGTGAAATATCGTGATAAAAACATGGTTGCATACAGAAAAACTTTGGAAGGGGAGGAAAATTATTCTCCTTTTGCGCTAAAAAAGAACAAAACAATAATTTATATATTCCAATTCCAAAAATGAAAAACAAAACAAATTTTATTAAATGCTATTCCAATTTATAATATATAATATAAATGAGATATAATGCATGTAAATTAATGAAACTAAACTAATAATAAGAAATACTGATGTAAACTTATGTAAACTAAAAATAGTTTAATAATAAAATTTCAAATAAATACAAAGTTATTAAAAACCTATAATTAAATTAATAAAACAAAATAGAAATTAAGAAAAAAAATTTAGAATCAATCAATACATATTTATATAATGTTTTTGAAAATGTAAAAAAACTAACAAAATAGTTTATGTATATATATATATATATATATATATATATATATATATATATACATATACACATAAATATGTATATATATATATATATATATATATATATATATATATATATATATATATATATATATATATATATATATATATATATATATATATATATATATATATATATATATATATATTAGGGTAGGTCGATTTTAGCTTTATTTTTGAATTTTGAGTTACTGTGTCTAGGTTAGAAATGAGGTTTTACCAAATCTCAAGTATCCTGGTTTAAAAATGGCTTGCGGATTTGCATTTTAAGTCTTAATTTTGGACTAGTTTTGTTAGATTGTTTATTTCAAATGTTGCAAAATTTTATTTTAGTCTAGTAATCTTGTTTTAAAATATCTTGTTTTGAGTTTATAAAGTAACCAATAAACAAGCGCAATTGTTTTAAGAAGCCAATAAAGTTTCGCTAAATCGTTTACACGCATTTAAACTCTCAAATCTTTTTTGTATTTAAATTTCTTGTTTGTATTTTAAAGTTAGTTTTAAAGTTAAATTTATTTAAAAATAGGTTCAAAAATAAAACTGCAATTTAAAGAAATCTTTTAATATCAAAGGTAAATACTTATGGTTATTATATCTAAAGTAATGTTTTAAACTGTTTATATTACATAAGTTTTGATTTGCGATTTCTGAAGTAGATTATAATATAAAACTTTTCGATGGAACTAATGGTTTTACTGAATTCCTGAGTTTCCTGAATTCATGGCCCCCAAATCTTTTTAAAAGAGTTTTATTTCTTTATTTTTTATCAAAGCAGGTTTTTAATAGCAAGTTTTAATATTTTAGGTTTTTTTGATACTTTGGCCCCCACTAAAAACTCACACCGTTGCCCATTACCCTAAGGGTAATACTTTAATACAGTTTACATATACAATTAATCTACAAAAATGCCAAAAGTAAAGGTTGCAATTACACGGATGAAAAGTGAAAAAAAATATTGTGGCGGCCCATGTGAACTATCAACGACAGATCCAAGCACTTTTAGACAGGTTATTCAGTATTATTACTATCTTATTCATATAAATCCAAATGCAGATATCGTATTAGTGACTCAGCAAATTAGCAATAATATAAAATCAATTTGGGCTACAGTAAACCCAAGATTACCTCTTATAACTGACAAATCTATTAATAGGAAAGTTAAAGATCATCTCGGACTTGTTAAGGATATTAATCGCAAGCACGGAAAAGCAAGCGCTAAAAGAAATCTTGATGCAGACTTGGACAAACTTTTTGATATTTCTGCGTGTTCCTGTTCATTAGATGTGTTTCCCTGTAGTGACAGAAAAGTTTCATGTAATAAAGAAAATTGCATCGAAGAACATATTGTATGCCTTTGTTCTCAAAGTAATAAAGTACCTCTGGAAGACAGAGCTTATCTTCGTGATCAGAGGAAAAAAATTGCTCCAAAACATGCATATCAACTTTCTTCCGTCGATAGATTATCTGTCAAAAGGATTTAAAGACTTGATAAAGAACGACAAAAAATATCTCATAAGCTAGTTAATGAAGATGAATCCCTCATAGCACAAGTAAACTTAATTGAAGAAACAAGTGGTTTGACCAATACAGAGGTAAATGTTTTATAAATACATGAAATATTTGTAACAGATGAAACAGAAAGCGATTTATTTTATTAACTCTTTTTAGGATGAAGGTGAATGGAAACCAGTAAATAATCCTATTGGAAAATACAACTTAGTTAAACTTCCAAGATTTGCAATGGAATTAGGCAGAAATGAGTGTTTGTCAAACATAGCCCTTGCAAATGCTTTACTACATGACATAAAACATTTCTTGAAAAATGACATTGATATTAAATATATTTTGATTGACAAATGCAAGTTAGATAGGGCCAAGTCAAAAGTAAAAATCGTTAGTGAAGAGGTGGACTCAGAACAAAAAAGTTAATTTGTCTTGGGGTTGACAGCAAGCTCGATCAAATAACTAAAACAAGTATAGTAATAAACTAACCTCAAGGAGAAGTGCTAAATAAATGCATTGAACCTGAACATCACCTCACAATTACTTATGAAGATGGAAAATCGAGTGGAAATTATTTGACTCATAGGACAATTCCTGTCACCGGTGCTACAGGTTTAGTTCTTGCTACCGAAACGTTTAGTGTTTTACAAGAACATAACAGTTTGGAAAGTATACAAGCTGTTCTTCTTGATACTGCTACCAATACTGGACCAATAAGTGGCTTAGTGGTAAAACTAGAAGAGTTTTTAAAAAGAAAACTACATCTAATTGAATGCGCATTACATCAAAATGAACTTCCGTTACATGGTGACACAACTGGGCCAAGAAGCTTTACTACTACTGCAATATTACGCAATATGCGGAATTAAAATCGACCTACCATAATATATATATATATATATATATATATATATATATATATATATATATATATATATACACACAAACATATATATGTATATGTATATGTATATATATATATATATATATATATATATATATATATATATATATATATATATATGTATATATATATATATATATATATATATATATATATATATATATATATATATATATATATATATATATATATATATATATATATATATATATGTATATATATATATACACAACAAAAACGAATCGTATATATAAGTTAGTAAAATATATATAATATATATATTTTACTAACTTATATATACAATTGGTTTTAACTGTAAATATATATATATATATATATATATTTTTATAGTGTAGTCGAAAGAGATTTTTATGGTAAAAAAAGTCTCCTTTGACTACAATTTTTTTTACCTTATCTCTTAAGCTGCATTTTATGGTGGTCGAAATGTCAAAGCAATTAAATTAATGCGAAAGTACATTAAATTTTATTGTTTTTTAAAAAAACTGCAATAATAATGACTAGAAAGTTTTTTTTAACAAGTGGTGTTTTTGTTTTTGTTTTATTAAAAAACATTTTAGAAACATTCGTAAATGTTGCTACATCTTATAGCCTGCTGCTACAAGGGAGTGTTGCTACATCGATTATCTTATATCCTGACTCGCAAGGGAGTGCTGCTACATCGACTGACAAATAGCCTGACTCGCAAGGGAGTGCTGCTACATCGACTGAGGGTTTGCAGGCCTTGCGATGAATAAGAACTGCGCGACGCATAAGCACGATGTGATTTTTGACGTCATTAAATTCTTTTTATTTGCTTTTCATATTTATCGACATTAACTGCACCAATTTACTTAATTACTGCAAAACTACTTTAAATCATTAATGTAGAAATGTAATTATTTAAAAATGTTTTGGAATGTTTCGTTTTTTAAAATGTAAAAACATTTGTTTATTTTCTCGACGTTTGTCACGTTTTGTCTATACTAAACGAATAAAAAACATTTTAACTTAAATTTAAAAAAGATTATAAAATATGCTAATATTTGATTTTTTTTTCTTAAATATGTAATTTAAAGTTTTTCAAATAATTATTTTTTCTTTTTAAAAAGTCAGCGAGTAATAAACTGGAAATTTTAATATTGTACTATTGAAAACTGATATTTTTACAAGCGATTTTATATAATATTTGTTTATTTTTATTTATTTTCATAAAGCGGTTGATAAGCACAACCACTCGTATTTATAAAAAACTTAAACGAACGTTTTGAATAGATTTTAAGGAACTTTATTTCTAGTAAAATAAAATAAAATGTTAGAATAAAAATCTTATAGGTATAAAAGAAATATTTCAGCGAAAAAATTATTCTTAAAAATTATTATTAAAAATTATTCGAAAAACTATTGACGTTTTATTTTTCAGCAGCTGTTCTTGAGCATGCTTCGTTGAGTTTCGTTAACTTTTAACATAAAAGCGATCGTTATTATTTAAGTAATTTTTTTGAGTTTTTACAAAAACTTTAATTAACAGTACTTTTTTATTGAATCAAGTAGAATACGTTTTAATATTAATCTTTTTTTTTTTTTTAATTTGCGCTCACCAATTTTTAAAATGCTCTTGGACGACGTAAAATTCACATCGCCCGACGCTTTATCACAAGGCCTGGGTTTGGTTTGGACAGGCAGTCTCTTATTTATAAAAAAAACCTTCAAAAAAAATTTTTTTTTTGGAAGTTTTTTAACATTTTCTGGTCAGGCTTATTAACGCACTCTTTAAAACAACAGTTTATGGGAAAAACTTTGTGACTACCGTGCAAGACTATGTATATATGCTCTGTTCTTTAAGAACATTGATAACTCTATGTAGAATACACTAACATAACTTTTATAAATATATATGTGTGTGTGTGTGTGTGTGTATGTTTATATATATATATATATATATATATATATATATATATATATATATATATATATATATATATATATATATACATATACATATACATATATATATATATATACATATATATATATATATATATATATATATATATATATATATATATATATATATATACATATATATGTATATATATTATATATATTTTATATATATATATATATATATATATATATATATATATATATATATATATATATATATATATATATATATATATATATATATATATATATATATAGGCTTGGACAGGAATGGCATGCGATCACACTC